TCTAATCACCTCTCAACAAAAGATTGTCCCAGGCACTGTCAGGCCATTATATGCTAATCAAGGTGGTCAGTTGAAACATTCACACCTAGCTCCAACAGACAAGAGTCCTTTGCCCCACCGTGATCATTCCACAGATATATAAACCCTTTTTCCTAGTTCCAACAGACCTCACTGCCTCTGAGGATGCTTGCCATAGATGCAGGCGAAATGTCAGGAGAAAATGCCTCTAGACGGAAAAAAAACCTACAACAACCCAATAATAATAATAATAATAATAATAATAATAATAATAATAATAAATAATTACTATTATTATATATTTATTCCCCACTTTTCTTCCAGGACTGGGACCCAAAGTGTCTCCCATATATATGTATATGTGTGTGTGTTTATATATATATATGTACATGCACAACATACCCCAGTGATGCAATGGGGCGCCTCTGTGCGCCACCTCCGCCCTGCCTTCCTGGCTCTGCGGTGTGGGTTTTGCAGCCCCACCAGGATGAACGCCTTCAAAAATAACACCGGCAAGGCGAGGATATTAAAAGACCTGACCTCATCCCTTTTCTCTCCCTGCGGTTGTTTGGTTTAGAGAAGCCTGGCTTTTGGGTTTAACCCCTTTCGGCTGCGACATTTCGGAGACCAGAAGGACATCAAAGGGGGTGCAAATGGGGAAGGGTATATCAGCCAGGCAGAATAATAATAATAATAATAATAATAATAATAATAATAATAACAACAACAACAACTGAGAGTTATTCGTATTGGAATAATAATAGTTATTATTATTATTATTATTACTGAGAGTTATTCATATTGGTATAATAATAATAATAATAATTACTGAGAGTTATTCGTATTGGTATAATAATAATAATGACAGTTATTCATATTGGTATAATAATAATAATAATGATTAACTGAGAGTTATTCGTATTGGTATAATAATAATTACTGAGAGTTATTCGTATTGGAATAATAATAATAATAATAATAATAATGACTGAGTGTTATTCGTATTGGATAATAATAATAATAATAATAACAGTTATTCATATTGGTATAATAATAATAATAATAATAATAATAATAATAACAGTTATTCATATTGGTATAATAATAATAATAATAATAATAATAATAATAATAATAACTGAGAGTTATTCGTATTGGTATTATTATTATTATTACACCAATACGAATAACTCTCAGTAATTATTATTATTATTATTATTATTATTATACCAATACGAATGACACTCAGTAATTATTATTATTACTATTATTATTATAACAGTTATTCTTATTGGTATAATAATAATAATAATAACTGAGAGTTATTCGTATTGGTATAATAATAATAATAATAATAATAATAATAATAATAATTACTGAGAGTTATTCGTATTGGTATTATTATTATTATTATTACCAATACGAATAACTCTCAGTAATTATTATTATATTATTATTATTATTATTATACCAATACGAATAACACTCAGTAATTATTATTATTATTATTATTATTATTATTATTATTATACCAATACGAATAACTCTCAGTAATTATTATTATTATTATTATTATTATTATACCAATACGAATGACACTCAGTAATTATTATTATTACTATTATTATTATAACAGTTATTCTTATTGGTATAATAATAATAATAATAACTGAGAGTTATTCGTATTGGTATAATAATAATAATAATAATGACAGAGTTATTCGTATTGGTATAATAATAATAATAATAATAATAATAATAACTGAGAGTTATTCGTATTGGTATAATAATAATAATAATAATAATAATAATGACAGAGTTATTCGTATTGGTATAATAATAATAATAATAATAATAATAATAGTGAGAGTTATTCGTATTGGTATGATAATAATTACTGAAAGTTATTCGTATTGGTATAATAATAATAATAATTACTGAGGATTATTTGTATTGGAATAATAATAATAATAATAACAACAACTGAGAGTTATTCGTATTGGTATAATAATAATAATTACTGAGAGTTATTCGTATTGGTATAATAATAATAATTACTGAGAGTTATTCGTATTGGTATTATTATTATTGTTAATATTATTATTATTATTGAGTTATTAGCATCGGTATTATTGTTGTTGTTGTTGTTTATTATTATTATTATTATTATTATTATTAGAAACACAACAAGATGAGTCTACAGCAGACACTCTGCTGGTTGTTGAATTGGATCACACGTCGGACACTTCCCAAGTGTCTAGGACTGTGTGATGTATCGGCAAATAAAGTGTGCAGATCCCAGTAAGGTAGCTTTTTGCAGCTGGCAGATGGTAATTTTGTCAGCGCCAATTGTGTTTAAGTGCAGGCCAAGGTCTTGAGGCACTGCACCTAGTGTGCCAATCACCATTAGGACCCCCTTGACTGGCTTGTGCCAAAGTCTTTGCAGTTCAATCTTGTATCGTTTCAGTTGTTTCTCTTCAATCCTGCTGTAGCCTGGGACTGCAACATCAATGATCCATATATTATTATTATTATTATTATTATTATTATTATTATTATTATAATTAGTCCAGCGCCGATTGTGTTAAGTGCAGGCCAAGGTCTTGAGGCACTGCACCCAGTGTGCCGATCACCACTGGGACCCCCTTGACTGGCTTGTGCCAAAGTCTTTGCAGTTCAATCTTGTATCGTTTCAGTTGTTTCTCTTCAATCCTGCTGTAGCCTGGGATTGCAACGTCAACAACCCATATTTTATTTTGTATTATTATTATTATTATTACTATTATTGTAGACTCTATTAGAGCTCCTATTAGAAATAGGCCTAACGAATATCCTACTCCATACTATATAAAAGGTAAAGGTTCCCCTTGACATTAAGTCTAGTTGTGTTGCTCATCTCCATTTCTAAACCAAAGAGCCGGCGTTGTCCATAGACACCTCCAAGGTCATGTGGCCACTGGCATGACTCTATGGAGTGCCGTTACCTTCCTGCCAGAGCAGTACCTATTGATCTACTCACATTTGCATGCTTTTGAACTGCTAAGTTGGCAGAAGCTGGGGCTAACAGCGGGAGCTCACCCTGCTCGCTGGATTCAAACGGCCGACCTTTTGGTCAGCAAGCTCAGCAGCTCAGTGGTTTAGCCTGCTTCGCCACCAGGGGTTCTATACAATACCAGTTGTTGTTGTTGTTGTTGACTCTCAATTTAACTAACATCCATGGAGGTATTGCTAGATGCCGGATAAAATTAGTTTCTGCTTACTTGAGAGTTGCTATTACAAATTTTCCGGTGAACTGAGAGACTGCATTATTATTATTATTATTATTATTATTATTCAACTTTAATGTCTTGGTTGGGTTGTTGTAGGGTTTTTTCGGGCTATATGGCCATGTTCTAGAGGCATTCTCTCCTGACGTTTCGCCTGCATCTATGGCAAGCATCCTCAGAGGTAGTGAGGTCTGTTGGAACTAGGAAAATGGGTTTATATATCTGTGGAATGACCAGGGTGAGACAAAGAACTCTTGTCTGTTGGAGCTAGGTGTGAATGTTTCAACTGACCACCTTGATTAGCATTTGATGGCCTGGCAGTGCCTGGGGCAATCTTTTGTTGAGAGGTGATTAGATGACCATGAAAGGCACTGCAGACTACTTCAACCAGAGAAGTCACGGGCTATATGGTCATGTTCTAGAGGCATTCTCTCCTGACATTTCGCCTGCATCTATGGCAAGCATCCTCAAAAGTAGTGAGGTCTTGGTTGAGACCCTAGGTTTCCTGCGGCAGCTTGCTTTTGCCGCAACCGATCGGGAAGTTCGTCAATTTCTCTCTGTTCCCTTCTTGTTTGATTAATAGAGTGCTGTAGTCCAAGGAAAAGAGTTCTGTACACACTGCTTAGGGGATGCTGGGAGTTGTAGGTCAGAAATAAGACCTTTCCTGAGCTTTCTGGTTGGACAATGTTGGAGAAAAACTAGGAGATGCTGGGAGTTGTAGTCCAGACAAAAGGCCTGGTTGCGACGATGCAAAAGTGCTTTGTATGCTGAAATGGACTCATACTGTAGGACCAATGTGTGTTCTTCTCTAGGTCTTCTCGGGTTGGGCTGAAGGACCTATAGATTGGGTTGTTGTAGGTTTTTCAAGCTGGAGGACCCATGTGTGTTCTTCTCTAGGTCTTCTCGGGTTGGGCTGAAGGACCTATAGATTGGGTTGTTGTAGGTTTTTCAAGCTGGAGGACCCATGTGTGTTCTTCTCTAGGTCTTCTCGGGTTGGGCTGAAGGACCTATAGATCGGGTTGTTGTAGGTTTTTCAAGCTGGAGGACCCATGTGTGTTCTTCTCTAGGTCTTCTCGGGTTGGGCTGAAGGACCTATAGATCGGGTTGTTGTAGGTTTTTCAAGCTGGAGGACCCATGTGTGTTCTTCTCTAGGTCTTCTCGGGTTGGGCTGAAGGACCTATAGATTGGGTTGTTGTAGGTTTTTCAAGCTGGAGGACCCATGTGTGTTCTTCTCTAGGTCTTCTCGGGTTGGGCTGAAGGACCTATAGATCGGGTTGTTGTAGGTTTTTCAAGCTGGAGGACCCATGTGTGTTCTTCTCTAAGTCTTCTCGAGTTGTGATGAAGGACCTATAGATTGGGTTGTTGTAGGTTTTTCGGGCTACATGGCCATGTTCCCGAAGCATTCTCTCCTGACGTTTCGCCTGCATCTATGGCATTCAAATCACCCCTGACAGATGGCCATCCAGCCTCTGCTTAAAAGCTTCCAAAGAAGGAGCCTCCACCACACTCCGGGGCAGAGAGTTCCACTGCTGAACGGCTCTCACAGTCAGGAAGTTCTTCCTCATGAATCTCCTCTCTTGTAGTTTGAAGCCAGGTAGAACTTGTGGCACATTCAATGTCCTAATATGTGGAAGGTTGGCTGTCCTCTGTTTTGGAAACCCAGGGCCTTTGTCTTTCGTGGCTAATATCTCTCCATTTCCTCCTCCTCCTCTGCAGAACCTGCTCAACCTGTCGCTGAGGGAAGAGCTGGACTTCTCCGGTCCCCAACTCTCCCGGCGCCACTCTGCGTGCTCCTCGGATGTGGCCACCTCTTATGACAGCAGCAGCAGCGGAGACCCTTCTCTGGTTTGGCCCTTGCGCAGCCACTGGACCCCTAGCGTGGAGCAGCTCCGGCCTCTGGGAGACCCCCTCCGGCGCCCGCCATTGCGCCCCGACCGCTCGGTCAGCCTCATCGAGGGCAAGGCCGTCGCCCCGCCCCCTCCGCCGGGCTTCCCTCCCCTCCGCCTGCCCTCCTTGACCTTCCCGACGCCGCTCTCCTCCTCGTCCCGCTACAAGACGGAGCTGTGCCGCACCTTCAGCGAGACGGGCAAGTGCAAGTACGGCACCAAGTGCCAGTTCGCCCACGGGTCCGCCGAGCTGCGCTCCGTCAGCCGCCACCCCAAATACAAGACGGAGCTGTGCCACAAGTTCTACCTCCACGGCGCGTGCCCTTACGGTGCCCGCTGCCACTTCATCCACTCTCCGGAGGAGGCCCAAATCCACTCTGCATCCTCCTCGCCGCAGCTCCTGCGCCAAAGCGTCAGCTACTCTGGAGTGCCGGCCGCCCGCCGGTCGCCCCCGTTGCCCGGCATCCCCGATCCGTCCAACTTCGCCCGAGCGCCTTCGGTTTCGCCTCCGCCGGCCTCCTCCGGCGACCTCCTCTCCCCGACCTTCGGCCACCTGAACTCTGACCCTCTGTCCTTTCTTTCCGGGACAACGTCCGGAGGGTGCTGCTCCTGCCGCTGCGGGAAGACCAACCCGAACACCGCCTCATTCGCGAACCATCGAGACTACTTCTCCGCCGCTCCCGGGACCCTGACCACTGCGCCGTCCTCCCTCTTGCCAAGGACCCCGTCCTCCAACTCCCTCTCCGACCCCGAGTCCTACAGCAGCTCCAGCAGCCTCAGCGGCTCCGACTCGCCCGTGTTCGATATACAAGCCCCCGGCGGGCCCACGGCAAGCGGAGCCAACCGCTTGCCCATCTTCAACCGAATCTCCGTCTCCGAGTGAGCCGTCTCCGAGTGGGGTTCTGTCCCCATTGAGTTTTAGCTGTCCTGTTTGTCTATAGCGGGCAATCCTATAATAAACCATCCTTCCCGGTTGAGGCCCAGGCGGCCTCTTCCGGTTAGCTTTGGGTATTTAATGTCTCTATAGGATGAACCATCCTTCCCGGTCGATGCCCAGGCGGCATCTTCGGAGCAGGTCTTTTTCACACCGATTCCCAGCAATGCACTTTGTGGCAGACCCGAAATCGCACGTTCCTGCCTTACGAGTCTCTCGAGTGCCTTTCAGAAAAACCCAATTGGTTGTGTTTCTCCGAGATTCAGTGCCTTAAGCAGGACCTTGTTTCCCAAGAGAGGAAAAATGTTTTATGGCTCTGGTTTGCAACGTAGTTGGCTTTAGAAGAACGATCCATATCTTGCTTTTCCTCCAACGTGTTGCCCAAACTTTTCTTCCCAGCGCAGTGGTGCAATGGTTAGGTCCCCAAAACATACGACTTTCCTTTATCCTTCGGCACCAGCAAACTGAGATTGCTACTTTGCAATTTCCTATCTCCTTAGACACAGAAAAACTTGGAAGACAGAGGAGCAGAAATTGGAGATAACACGGAGACGGGATGGTTGAGCATTTTGGCTGTTGCCAATCAGCCATAAGAGTCCCATCTTCTCATTTGAAAACCAAAGAATTTTAGTACTGCACCTCTTGTGCCAACCTAATCTAGGATATTTGAGACCTCCATGAGCCTAACCTAGCATCCCTTGCCCTCGGTTGATGGGAGATATAGTTTGGCAACTTTTGGAGACTTTTGGAGGCAGTGGTGCAATGGTTAGGTTCCCAAAACATATGACTTTCCTTTATCCTTCGGCACCAGCAAACTGAGATTGGTAATTTCCTATCTCCTTATACACAGAAAAACTTGGAAAAGTTCAGACAGAGGAGCAGAAATTGGAGATAACGCGGAGACGGGATGGTTGAGCATTTTGGTGTTTGTTGCCAATCAGCCATAAGTCCCATCTTCTCATTTGAAAACCAGATAATTTTACTACTGCACCTCTTATGCCAACCTAATCTAGGATATTTGACACCTCCATGAGCCTAACCTAGCATCCCTTGCCCTTGGTTGATGGGAGATGTTGTTTGGCAACTTTTGGAGACGTGCATCATTCCAACCCTGGCCTAAGCCAGCGATTGATCTGCCCTGGGTTGTTGTAGGTTTTTTCGGGCGATATGGCCATGTTCTAGAGGCATTCTCTCCTGACGTTTCACCTGCATCTATGGCAAGCATCCTCAGAGGTCATGCAGGCGAAACGTCAGGAGAGAATGCCTCTAGAATGTGGCCATATAGCCTGAAAAAACCTACAACAACCCGGTGATTCCGGCCATGGAAGCCTTCGACAATACATTGATCTGCCCTGTTTTCCTAACTATAAATGCCTATAAAATGAATTAACCTGGATATGAAAAATGGTGAGAGAGTGGAGCTGGTCTCCTTCTTCCCAACACCATATTCCTGGTGAAAACACACACAAATTGGACTCTTTGGGTGCATTGAATGCAGTTTGGCACCACTTAAAAGTGCCAGGGCTCAATATTTTGGAATCCAAAGAGTTGGAGTTGCACTTTTTGGCCTTGCAAAACTACAACTCCTAGCATTGAGCCATAGCAGTTTAAAATGGAACCAAACTGTGTTCATTCTATAGTGTAGACGCCCTCCTTCGCTGTGCTGAAAGAGGCCGGGAATGAAAACCATCGCCTCTCCGTTTGAATCCTTTTTTTGTGCCTAAGCGTTGCAAAATTGAACCCACGCCTCTTTGGGAAAACTAGGCAGCCTTATTTATTGGGTTGTTGTAGGTTTTTTCGGGCGATGTGGCCATGGTCTAGAGGCATTCTCTCCTGATGTTTCGCCTGCATCTATGGCAAGCATCCTCACTAGGATGCAGGCGAAACGTCGGGAGAGAATGCCTCTAGACCATGGCCATATAGCCCAAAAAAACCTACAACAACCCAGTGATTCTGGCCACGAAAGCCTTCGACATGACAGCCTTATTTATTTTTTACAGTGTATGTAGCATAATCTTTGTTTTTGTTTTTTCCCTTTCCACGGAGGCAGAAAAACTTATGCAAAGTCTGGGAGGGAGGGAGGAATTGGCGACCAATTACCATTAAATGGCTGGTTTTTTAAAATCGTACTGTGAATAAATACCCTCCTCTTCCTTTCTCTTTTATTGAAGGGATTTGAGAATGTTGTGGTTGCCTTGACTTTTGTTTTAATTCCGTGCAAATTTCCATAAGAAAATAAAGATTTGGGAAGAGTTTGCAATATGTAAACAAAGCAAAATTTGGGCATCAGTGAATAGTTTTGCACTGGTGGACATCACCGATCGATGTGACCATAAGTCGCACGAAAAAGGGGAGAAAAGGAGGGTAAAGTCCATCTTTTATTTCCTTTCATAAATGTCAGTCAAAGTAATTTGCAGGATTCTATGTGTATGTATTGTTTTTGCTGAAGGAAACAAACAAAAAGAGATAAACCCTCCATGTTTACTTTGTCGCCAGGCAAAGCACGAAACCAAAACCTGAACTATTTATAGATCCTTATTTATTCAGATTTTATATGTATTTATCTTTTTTCTAATATTCCAAGATAATATATAATATAATATAATATATATAAATGAAGACATTGAGGTCTCTCTCTATATATTGTGTGCGTGAAGTATGGAAAACGACAACAACAGTGTTTATTAAAGAAGTGATTGATTGTGTCGAGAAAATGTTTTGCTTTCTCTTTTTATCCTCTGTTCGGAAAATAAAAAAAGGACAAGTGCTTCTTGGTATTCCTTTTCTGATCGAGAATTGCGGACGAATAATGGCGCAGCTGATGATTATTATTGGAAATCAATAAATATGAAGCTTCGGAAACATATGACATGTTTGTGATCTTTTCGGGTTAACTACAAGGTGTGAACCCTGGGCTGCAAGAGTCCTAACCCTGTGTTAACCATCTAAGGCTGAGAGGGTGTGACCTGCCCAAAGCCAATGCTCTGACCACCTCTGAGGCTGAGAGAGTGTGACCTGCCCAAAGCCAATGCTCAGGCTGCCTCTGAGGCTGAGAGAGCGTGACTTGCCTAAAGCCAATGCTCTTGACCACCTCTGAGGCTGAGAGAGTGTGACCTGCCCAAAGCCAATGCTCAGGCTGCCTCTGAGGCTGAGAGAGCGTGACTTGCCTAAAGCCAATGCTCTTGACCACCTCTGAGGCTGAGAGAGAGTGACCTGCCCAAAGCCAACACTACTTCTAAGGCTAAGTGAGAGTATCCTGCCCAAAGTCAATGCTCCAACTGCCTCTGAGGCTGAGAGAGTGTCCAGCCCAAAGCCAATGCTCTGACCACCTCTGAGGCTGAGAAAGTGTGACCTACCCAAAACCAACACTCCCAACTAGGCTGAGAGAGTGTGACCTACCCACAGCCAACCCTCCAACTACCTCTAAGGCTGAGTGAGAGTGTCCTGCCCAAAGCCAATGCTCTAACTGCCTCTGAGGCTGAGAGAGTGTGACCTATCCAAAGCCAATGCTCTGACTGCCTCTGGGGATGAGAGAGTGTGACCTACCCAAAGCCAACACTCCCAACTAGGCTCTGAGAGTGTGACCTATCCAAAGCCAACGCTCTGACTGCCTCTGAGGCTGAGAGAGTGTGACCTACCCAAAGCCAACACTCCCAACTAGGCTGAGAGAGTGTGACCTATCCAAAGCCAACACTCTGATCCCCTCTGATGGTGAGAGTGTGTGACCTACCCAAAGCCAACACACCAACTACCTCTAAGGCTGAGTGAGAGTGTCCTGCCCAAAGCCAATGCTCCAACTGCCTCTGAGGCTGAGAGAGTGTGACCTGCCCAAAGCCAACACTCTGACCGCCTCTGAAGCTGAGAGAGTGTGACCTACCCAAAGCCAATGCTTCAACCACCTCTGAGGCTGAGAGAGTGTGACCTTCCCAAAGCCAACACTCTGACCGCCTCTGGGGATGAGAGCGTGTGACCTACCCAAAGCCAACACTCCAATTACTTCTAAGGCTGAGAGAGACTGTCCTGCCCAAAGCCAACGCTCAGACAGCCTCTGAGGCTGAGAGGGTGTGACCTGCCCAAAGCTAATGATCTGACCGCCTCTGAGGTTGAGAAAGTGTGACTTACCCAAAGCCAACACTCCCAACTAGGCTGAGAGAGTGTGACCTATCCAAAGTCAACGCTTTGACTGCCTCTGAGGCTGAGAGAGTGTCCTGCCCAAAGCCAACGCTCTGACCGCCTCTGAGGCTGAGAAAGTGTGACCTACCCAAAGCCAATGCTCTGACCACCTCTAAGGCTGAGAGAGAGTGTGCTGCCCAAAGCCAACGCTTTGACCGCCTCTGAGGCTGAGAAAGTGTGACCTACCCAAAGACAACACTCCGACTGCCTGAGGCTGAGAAAGTGTGACCTACCCAAGGTCAACACTCCAACTGCCTCTAAGGCTGAGAGAGCGTGACCTGACCAAAGCCAACACTTCAACTACCTCTAAGGCTGAGAGAGGGTGTCCTGCCCAAAGGCAATGCTCCAACTGCCTCTGAAGCTGAGAGAGTGTGACCTACCCAAAGCTAGTACTCCCAACTACCCCTGAGGCTGAGAGAGTGTGAACTGCCCAAAGCCAATGTACCAGAAGTTGTCGTTTTGCAAGGCCTTCAGCTACAAATGCCACACATTCCCATACACATCCCAAACATTCCCATAGAAATGGAATCCTGGAATCCTGTTGTAGTTTTGCAAGGCCTTCCTCCTGCTTTACCCTCATCAAACTGCACATCGCAAACATTCCCATACAGATCCCTAACTTTTACACACACACACACACACACACATATATATATGAAGTCCTGGAAGTTGAAGTTTTGCAAGGCCTTTAGCCGGCTGCTTTAGCCTAAACAAACTACAAATCCCACACATTCCCATACAGATGCCAAACATTCCCATATGTGTGGAGTCCTGGGAGTTGTAGTTTTGAAAGGGCTTTAGCCTGCTGTTTGAGCCTCACCAAACTACAGGTTCCAAACATTCCCATATATGTGGTGTCCTGGGAGTTGCAATTTTGAAAGGCTTTAGCCTGCTGTTTGAGCCTCACCAAAGTACAGATCCATACACTGCCATACAGATCCCTAACATTCCTATATGTATGGAGTCCTGGCAGTTATAGTTATGCAGGGTCATTAGCCTGCTGCTTTAGCCTCACCAAATACAAGTCCCAAACATTCCCATATGTGTGGAGTCCTGGGAGCTGTAGTTTTGAAAGGCCTTTTCCCTGCTGCTTTGGCCTTGCCAAACTACAAATCCCAAACATTCCCATACAGGTCCCAAACATTCCCACATATGTGGAGGCCTGGGAGTTATAGTTTTGCAGGGTCTTTAGCCTGTTGCTTTGAGCTCACCAAACTACAGGTCCCAAACATTCCCATATATGTGGAGTCCTGGGACTTGTAGTTTTGAAAGGCCTTTAGCCTGCTGCTTGAGCCTCACCAAACTACAGATTCCAAACATTCCCATATGAATGAAGCCCTGGAAG